CCCAAGCAATCCCTTCTTAAACGACCCTCTCAGGGAAGGCAAGACACTCCTTCATCAGAAGCGAGCACAAAACGACTAGCACCAATCGATTCTGTCTCCCCTATAGGACAAAACTCTGCAGCTACTAAACCAAGATCTGATTGCGAGACCGCGAGAAGTGACAACGATGACAGTGCGAAAGCTACTCGCAGCAGCAGTTTAATCAGCCGTTGGGCTTCGCGTAATTGCGATTTGCGTGATGATACTGGCGTGAAAGATAATAACCTGACGAATGGTGTCGATGAAGGGGATCCTGTTCCAAGAGGAGACACACGAAAGCTACCTTCTCCTCGTGTTGAGCAGGAAGAGTCACCACCAAATGAAAATTCAACTAAAGTTTCCGATCGTGTACAGAATTTCCGAGCACGTCTCGAAGAATTGAAGGACAGGGAAAGTGATGAGATCACGAACGAGTCTACACTACCCCAAAGCGTTTTAACGGAACCACCGATTCCTGCTCTATCTCCTCTACCTCGTATAACGGATATTAACTCTAGCAAAGCTTATCCCTCCTCGACGGCAAAGCGGCCCGCCCCAGAGGTTGCTACCATTACAATAGGTGATCATACTGTCACAAGTATTATCGGCTCAGCGCTTAAAAAGCAGCGGCTTGACAGTCAACATACCCGGAATCTTCCTACACGGAAAGGTGCCAAAGCGTCGGTACCTGTACCTTCTTTTAATGGGCGGTTAACTCAGATGTTCGCTGCACAAGCAGAACGGTCCCAGTCTGATAAAAGAGAAATCACGGTTACTGCAGAAGTGGAGGATAATCCCCTAGATTCTGATTCATCAAGTGAACATTTGTTCTTATCTGATGATTCAGGAGGAGAAAGCGATAAGGAAGACGCAGACAAGATCAACAATAGAGGTGATCAAAAGTCCTCTTCTCTCCAGGCTTCGCAGGCATCCGAGACAAACCCTAATGAGGATTCGGGAGTTGAGCCAACGTCTCCAGCTGATTCTAGTGATGGCGAATATAGAGAGAGAGAAGTTCAAGAGACGAATGAAGAGAGCGATACTGGTGAAACTAACGAAAATACCGAGTCTTCCGAGAAATTAATCTCGGAGGAATCACAGAAACGCACCCAGACTTTTGTCAAGGGCAATACCAAGAGAAAAGACGCCACGTATCATCTTCAACAAGCCTTACGAGTGGATGGAGGGTTCATTCGAGACGCCTTTACGTTGCATCGAGAATATATCTCTTGTTCCCTTACTAGCGCCAAGGCCATGCTAGAAACTAACCGCCTTGACGCTGAAGATGCTGAAGAGAAGCTATCCCTGACAATATCAAAGTCGGACTTTGAGAAAATGAAAATTGTAGGGCAATTCAATCTCGGGTTTATCCTCGCCTCTCGTGCCGGTGAAGAAAGTTCGGCGGATACACTGGACAGGAGTGATAGAGACGATGAACTGTTTATTATTGATCAGCACGCAACAGACGAGAAGTATAACTTCGAACGGCTACAGGCTAGCACCGTTGTGCAGTCTCAGAGACTGGTCCATCCCAAGACGCTTGAGCTCACAGCCGTTGAAGAAGATATAGTGCAACAAAACCTCGATGCCCTGGAAACCAACGGGTTTATGGTCAATTTCGACGAGAGCGGCGAACAGCCCGTGGGAGCGCGGTGTCAGTTGCTTAGTTTGCCACTGAGCCGGGAAACTACCTTCTCACTCACGGACCTGGAAGAGCTCATCTCGCTCCTCCAAGATCACCAATCCACATCAGCGAACACGGTCCCACGGCCGTCGAAGGTTCGCAAGATGTTCGCGATGCGCGCTTGCCGAAGCAGCGTCATGATTGGGAAATCCCTGTCGATTAAGCAGATGGAGAAGCTTGTCCGACACATGGGCGAACTCGATAAGCCGTGGAATTGCCCACATGGGCGGCCGACCATGAGACATCTGTGCGGCTTGGGCGCATGGGACGGTCTTGGCTGGAAAGAAGGAGATGGCTTCGATGGAAGCAGGCCGTCGCGTACGAATTGGAGTGCTTACCTTGATGAGCAGCGGGATCTGGAGTAGGATTAAATGTATACATGTATAGTCGGGTTGTATTGCTTGAAATTGGGCTGGAAAGGAGCACATTTATTGTATGGATATATACCCTTACTTAGGTACCGTAACGTCAGACTCGATACTTGCTGTGAAATATAGTACCTGCTTTTGGCTGGCTGATCACGAGAGATTGTCTGGGACTTTGTGCACTGCAATCACAATTCCCCCACCATTTCGAGTCGCATAGCTCTCTAGCTCACCATCTGAACCATCATGTAACGCCTGGTGCTAAATCCTCTACTCACGCGTATTGCGTTGTGTCCTGCTCCATGTGTTCACGCAAAAACTATGAGATTGAGGGGGGATTAACTCAGCTTCCCCCGGGAGAAGAGCCTTCAACTTAGCCCCCTTTTAGGTACGTTATCGGGCGAGCTTAGTAATTACGAAGAGGTAGTATCAAATTCTCCGGATCAATCGAATACTTCGAGTCTGGGGACAGTACATTGTCGACTGTTATACACGAGGTGTCAGTGCCACACAACTCTTACCCCGTTTAACTAACCCGGCGTACCCTCCCGGTGTTATCGGTAGCGGTATTAGGTAAAGCGGTAACCCGACCCCCAGATTATGTCCGGCGGCCCGGTTTTCTTAGTCCAGGGGCCTACATGTAATATTTTGAAGATTTCCGCATGCAACATGCCTAAGAGCCTATTCTTGTTGAATTCAGGGCAAAGTTCATAACTAAATTGTATAAGAGTTAGTGCGGGAGTGCAGCTATTTGGTACGTAGCGTATGAAAGCAATACTGTAGTTAGCTATACAATGGCATACTTATCACAACGCTGGCACTCTTCGCATTAACGACTGCTATCATACCGGGATACAGATACCTAAAAGCTAACCTGAATAGGTAAATATTTGTCTCCGGGACCCTTGGCGGCCCTAGCCCGATTCGTCTGAACTTTCCTTGATATTGAGCTGAGCAAAGCATCCGACGATGACAATCCTTTCCTGTAGTCCGTTAGGACCGGTTGTATTGCCAGCACGTACGAGGTTGCCTAGTGATGACCCCATCCCGTAGTTCACCGTATCACTAATCAACTTCGATGATTCCATGTATGTGCCGTATGTATGGGTTGATTCAAAACTATAAGAGCGAGGAAGCTCCCAGCCGAATCGTCGTAGAAGATGAATAGCAAGTAGATCTACATCAATATCAAAAGCATTGCCTCGAAGAAATCGTAGCTTCAAGTCTAGAAATACGATATCACCATCACCGTCTCGTCTGACATAATTTCGTTATACATTCGACATCTAAACCCATCATGTCATCAAACGCCTCCGTGAAGCCCATCACCGTCTGGGGCCACACCATTGGACCCAACCCCCTTAAGGTCCGGATGATACTCGAGGAGCTAGGTCTTCCATACGACTTCAAGCTCATCGAATTCGACGAGATGAAGCAGGAAGCGTACCTGCAAGTGAACCCCAACGGCCGCGTCCCCGCCATCCACGACCCGAACACGGGCCTCACGCTGTGGGAATCCGGCCCCATCGTCGAGTACCTCGTCGAGCAGTACGACAAGGACCACAAGATCTCCTACGACAGCTTCACCGAGAGGCACCAGGTGCGGCAGTGGATCGCGTACCAGATTTCCGGTTAGTCATTTCGTTTCATCCCCCCGGTCTTATAAGCTTATGTCATCATCATCATCATTATCACCCCTCTTCCCTTTTTTGTTACCTACAGTGCTTGGTTCATCCCGTGACTGACATGGCGGCAAATATCAGGCCAGGGTCCGTACTATGGACAGGGGGTGTGGTTTTCCTTCTTCCACCACGAGAAACTCCCCTCGGCCGTCGAGCGCTACTTCAAAGAGGTCGAGCGCGTCCGCTCGGTCGTGGACCTGCACCTCTCCCGGCAGGCAGGCGAGAAGCAGGGCGAGAAGGTGGCGGACAAGGACGTCTGGCTCGTGGGCGACAAGCTGACGGTCGCGGACCTTAGCTGGTTCATCTGGGAGCAGATCCTCGATTTCACGATGGCCAGGACCGGCGCTTCCATCCCCAAGGTTAGTAATCGTCGTCCCCATACTCAGGCGCCGCGCACACCAACCAACCTGCCTTTGTTTGAGAGGGGTTTCTGTTTTGCTGACTCTGGCGTAGGGCAAATACCCGCACTATGAGGCGTGGTACAAGAAGATCGAAGAGCGCCCTAGCGCACAGCACGCTATCCAGAGCAGGAATGAAGGGCTGAAGAATATCCAGCTTCCAGCTGACAAGTAGAGGCGTACTAGCTTTGAGCTGGGCGAGGTACTAGAAGCCAGGGGTGATAACTTACCGTACCTACTCCTGGTCATATTGATCAATTGCCTAGTCCCTACAACGGGGAATAGATCCCATGGGCCGAAGATAAATCACGGTTATATAGGAATATATATATGCTGCCTCACTATTAATATTAATGCCCTAAGCGTCTTGGTTGCAGTCTTTGGAAGTACTCGATGACCATAAAGGTTGCTAGGTTAGGTAGTATTAGCTCCTATTATACGGACAGCTACCATGGCGGAATGGTCATCAGGTATGCCGATTTAAACGATTTAACCTCAGGCCACCTTCAGCTGCCCAGGTGTTCCCTAAACACGACCTTAGTGTAATAGCAATAATCATGTGAGCCATAATCGTAACGTTGATTTGGAAGGACACACTTAATAGATTATAACCTGTCATTACGAAGTGATGTTCACAGATATATAGTTGTTTTATAGGATAGACATTGTTTAGCAAGACAGCTATCTTCTGTAGGTACCTAGGCACGCCCAATACCCCGCACAGGACCCCGCCGCTTAGGGGAGTGCGGCAGAATAGTTACCAATCAGGATGCTGGGACCTGCTGATAGTCCACAACAGTTGATGCAAAGATTATTAAGTCTTTTTACAATTGGCCTCGGTATGCAATTCAATGGGCGTGTAGCTCAGGGGTAGAGCGCTCGCTTTGCATCCGCTAGACCGCGTGGTCAAAAGCGAAAAAATGCGAGAGGCCTAGGGTTCAAATCCCTACTCGTCCAGCCCAGAATCGAAACTTTAGCTTTTGCCCCGAAATGTTTTAATGGTTAGTTTTGTATTTTTCAGGATAGGAGATGACTATTCACTATGCGTTCTCTTTTACTTCTTCTTCTCTTTGTGCCCCACGCTCCTGTACAACTACAATCAATACCTTCATTTGTCCTACCTAGGTATAACACACATCTTCGGAGACCCGGAGGTTCTAGATGCATGCACGTAAGCTGTGTACCGGTGACCGCAGGACTGACCTAGGTATACCGTATCCGACCGATGTCTTACCTAGGTATACCGTATCCGATGTCTTGGCCGCCAAGGAAGAGAGAGAGCTTAAGTAATAATTTACAAATGGATTACTTATTTACATACTTGATCATAGTTGTCCATAATACTCGGTACCCTGAAGTGAGTGGTATTGCGTCTCTGAGGATGTTGTAGCAGTCGTCGCTTAGATGGACTAGGTTAGCACAGTACAGTAGGTGATCGGGTTCATCGGATGGATCAATTAGGTGACATGCTGCGGGCCACATGTATCAAGTGATCTCGCGATGGAATAGGAAAGGTGGTCATGAATATATGGTACTGTTGGTCTACACCGGCGGTCGAGACAGCCAATAGAGCACGGCAGGTTGATAAACGAGTGACTGTGTAATGGTACCGGGGAGGGAACTAAGCTTTAGCAAGTGATATCGGCGCCAGCAACGCTTGAAACGCTTAAAAAGAACCGGCCTACTGGACATAGATAGTCTCCGCTCCAAGCTTGTACTAATTAGCTTCTTTATCTACCTAGGTAGGTACCTATTGGCATCCCCAACCCATCCATTTGCTTCATGTGATACCGTTACAAAGCCTAAAGCCGCAGTTACTTTTCATAGACCCCTCCCTCTCTTCAGGTATAAGTAGATGGATGTGCCATATCCCAGAAAGATCAGCGTCCGCAAGCAGCGTACGGCAGCATTCGAGGTTAGATTACTAACTACCTACCTAGTAGGTAGCTAACTTTAGCTGCTGGGCAGAGAAGGTTGTGCCTATCATACCTACCCACCACCCATATTTACCTATTCTACTATCCCATATTGATTTGCCATTGACTTTCGAGTACACTACGATGGCGCCCCACAGTCTGCTTGACGAAGGTCCCGCCGACCTCGAACAGAGACTGGACGATGCTGAAATCCGGCCGCCATCCCCACCTCCCATGTCCACACGGCCTCCGAGACTGCTCGTCATCGGCGCCGGATCTCGCGGCCGTACCTATGCTAGATGCTCTCTCCAATCGAGCAACGGTGTTATCGCCGCCGTTGCCGAGCCCGACGACTATAAGCGTGATGACTTTGGTAGTAAGTTCATATGGGGCAAGACAGCATCGCCTCCGGATGGGTCGAGTTTTAGGGATTGGAGCGAATATGTTGCGTGGGAAACAAATCGTCGTCGGCGACAAGCAGCGGGCGAGGCTGTTCCGGAAGGCGTCGACGCCGCCTTCATTTGCGTGCGAGACGAGATGCATCATGATGTGATCATGGCCCTCGCACCGCTTGGCCTTCACATCATGTGCGAGAAGCCGCTGGCTACTACGCTCGAGGACTGCACTAACATATACCGGACGTTGTCGCCGCTCCAGACCTCCAAGGTATTCTCCATCGGACATGTAATGCGCTATTCACCCCACAACATGATGTTGCGAAAGCTGCTCCTCGAAGATAACGTCATCGGCGACATTCTCAGCGTGCATCACACAGAGCCCGTAGGATACTGGCACTTTTCGCATAGTTATGTGCGTGGCAATTGGCGAAAGGAGTCTATCACAGCCCCGTCACTGCTCACCAAAAGCTGCCATGACATTGACATTCTCTTGTGGCTCATGTGTTCCCCTGCACCCGGATCGGATGCGCCCGAGCATCTGCCTACATCTGTCACATCCACCGGCTCGCTGCAATTCTTCCGAAAGAGCAGGAAACCTAAAGCGGCAGGTAATGCGACAAACTGCCTCAGCTGCCCCGCCGAGAAGGACTGCATGTACTCCAGCAAGCGAATTTACGTCGGCCCGAAACATATGGGAGTCGAGACGGGTAATATTAGGTGGCCTCTTAGCATCGTTCTTCCCGACATAGAAAGTTACGGCGCCGATATTGACAAGGCGAAAGGCGCATTGCTATCCGTGCTCGCCGAAGACTACGACAGCTCAACGCCCCAGGAAGTAATCAACGGTAAGAATTGGTTTGGCCGATGCGTCTTCGAGTCCGACAACGACGTATGTGACGAGCAGGTCGTGACAATGACTTGGGAGGATGACCCGCTACCCAATTCTAGCGTGAGTGCAACGGACGCTGTGGGCGCCCGAGGCGCGAAGCAGGCGACGTTCCATATGATTGCCCAGACCAAGAAGCAATGCCAAAGATACACATACATCTACGGCACCGAGGGCGAGATCTACGCAGACTCTAAGACCATCACGATCGAGAATTTTCAAACCGGTGAGACTGAGACTTACAAGCCCAAGTTGGAAAGCCTCGGCCACGGCGGCGGCGACCACGGCCTGACGAGGCAGTTCGTGCTTGCTGTCGATAGGGTCAAGAACAGTGGATGGAAGGCGGAAGACGCCCAGCGCGAATTCATCGGATGTAGTCTGGAGGAGATCATTCGTAGCCACGCGATGGTGTTCGCGGCCGAGGAGGCGAGGAGGGACAGGAAGACTGTCGATTGGAAGGCTTGGTGGGACGAGAAGGTCAGGACGACGTAAGCTTTCTTTCTTTTTCGATTTGTGGCGCATGGATTCCGCGGGAAATGTGCGGAACGGATATTAGACGGTTGCGTTCCGCCGCATCATGCTTGCTACGTAGTATACTACTACTGTAACATGCTGCCGTGCTGTTGGGCGCCGAGTCGCGTACCATCAGAGGCACCGGTAGGATGTAGCGAATTTTATATACCTACCTAGGTAGGATAGGATAGTACTGTATCTGGATAATGGTTCCCGATGTTTATTAATATTTCTCGTAATGAACACCCTAGGCCATGTACGATCCCCAATGTGGTTCTCATGATAGATGTGCTGAAATTAGACATCATCCTAAGCCCTATACGCCGTTCCCAATACAAGCAGCCAATCAAATATACAACTCGAAGCCCCGAAACCAGCCAGCTTCAGGGATATGCTATTTGGCCCCGGACTCCGTGCTCTGTCCGTGCCACAACGTTGCAAGCCGTCCGGTTCCGAAGGATAACAGAACTAAACTTAGGTAATCCCATTCGATTCACCCCCTGTGCAGTTTAATTACCTAGGCACATATGGGAATCGGAATGCCAATGCCTATGCCATCAAGTGCTTTCGTATCGCCTTGTTAACCGCCTCATGGTTCTACTCAACTTGGCAGGTAACTATAAATGAGGCCATGCGCAAAGCATCGTTGCCATCACCAGCAAACAGACGCCGAAGGAACCTCGGTATTTGCCTTTTCTAGTCATCCGGTGTCTAATCATGTGCTGCTAGCGCCCGGTAGGTATTCGTGGTCTTATCTAGGTGAGGTACATACCTTATGAGAATTGGCGTTCAGTCCGGCACTTTGATTGATGTCAGCTCATCACCGCCACAATAGATGCACCAGTGCATCTTATATCAGAACAGAGGTTGACGCTATAGGTCTCAGAAACAACAATCTGGAGATGCTTGAACCACCTGTCAGATTATAAGTACACGGGCCGAACCCACTCTCGGGTCTCTGCCGGCGCTTGGCAACGCAGCGGCGATGTTTCTGTACTGTACGTATACCCCCTAACCCAGACTAAGCCGCGCTTTCACCTACGATGAGCTAAGACCATCTGCTAATACGACTAGAGGTCATACGGAAGCCGAATGCCCGGACTGTGACTTTAGCTAGCACTCTCAGGATGGCGGCCGGCGGTCGGCTCCGACTCACCTTCCGAACTTTGATTCTATTGCCACCATTACTTACGTGAGGCTTCAAATAACAAGCTAGATAGGTCCGGTGCTAAAGGGAATGGGGCGGAGGAATGCGCACCGTTCTCTAGGAAGCCAAGTTTATTATTAGCTTGAAACGAAAACCAGATGACCGTCTACCTTCCCTCTTGGGAAGCTGAGCGCTACCAAACTACAGTGGATCGCCGTCGACTTTGTATATAAGACGACCTTCGCCGACCATCATCTTGGTAGAAATCAAGTCGGTTCATTCATCCCGTCTACGCATCAAAATGAAGTCAGTGCTCGCCTTCTCAGCTCTCCTGTCCCTGGCCTGGGCCCAGGACCTCTGCGACCAATTCAGCTAGTGAGTGATTTTGACATGCTTTTACAAATCGTCCCCCCCAATGGCGATAACTAACTCCAAGTGCCGTAGCTACGAATCTAATAACGGGTACTACTTCAACAACAATGCGTGGGGGAAGAACGACGGGACTGGTAGCCAGTGCACGCATGTCGACAAGATCTTGAACCCGGGCGTCCAATGGCACGCGGAGTGGAACTGGTCTGGCAATAACAACAACGTCAAGGGCTACCCTTACTCTGGACGTCAGCTGTCGAGCAAGAAGATCGTCAGCACCATCGGCAGCATGCCAACGAAGGCCGAATGGCGATATCTCGGAGACAACATCCGCGCTGACATCGCGTATGACCTGTTCACGTCAGCAGACCCGAACCACAACACCTACAGCGGCGACTACGAGCTCATGGTCTGGTAAGAATGACTGGTCTTACCTCTTTATTCAAGTCTATGTATAGGTCGCGAGTAGCGAACGCTAACTCGAACCTCGTAGGATTGGCCGAGACGGCGGCATCCAGCCCATCGGCAGTTCCACAGGAAATGTCAACGTTGCCGGACGCACTTGGGATCTATGGGTTGGGTACAACGGGCCCATGAAGGTGTTCAGCTTCGTAGCACCGAGCGACATCGCCACCTTTGAGTCCGATATCAAGGCCTTCTTCGACCACGTCACCAACCACCAGGGTTTCCCGGCTTCATCGCAGCATCTGCTCAGTATGTATATTTTC